GCCCGCCGCGTTTCTCCTCTCTCTCTCTCTCTCTCTCTCTTCTCTCTCTCTCTCTCTCTCTCTCTCTCTCTCTCTCTCTCTCTTCTCTCTCTTCTCCCCTCGCTACTCTTTCTCTCTCTCTCTCTCTCTTCTCTCTCTCTCTCTCTCTCTCTCTCTCTCTCTCTCTCTCTCTCTCTCTCTCTCTCTCTTCTCTCTCTCCATCGCGCTACTCTCTCTCTCTCTCTCTCTCTCTCTCCTCTCTCTCTTCTCTCTCTCTCTCTCTCTCTCTCTTCTCTCTCTCTCTCTCTCTCTCTCTCTCCCATCGCGCTACTCTCTTCTCTCTCTCTCCTCTCTCTCTCTCTCTCTCTCTCTCTCTCTCTCTCTCTCTCTCTCTCTCTCTCTCTCTCTCTCTCTCTCTCTCTCTCTCTCTCTCTCCCGCCGCGCCACTCTCTCCCTATATCGTTGCATCACATTTTCCTCACTATTCCCAGGCACTAAGGCGGAAACAAACAGGGGGTCAACTAGCGGAACTAGGTAGCTACGCCTCTGTTAGTAGCTTACTACTAGACCCAGGCCAATTATGAACCCATGCACAACTTGAAAACCGAGTTGGGCCAACTCGATCCAAAAGCCTCAACTCGTCGCATGCCTTCGCCATGCCATAATCGCACTGGGAAACGCTAACCCTGACCAAGCATTTCGTATCAGAAATACAGCTTTGCACGTCGCGAGTTTCGTCTTGCGACGATCATGTTGCGGGATCCTATCAGCTTCGAGATCAAACTTCATTTTTCCAACCCGCATCACTTTGTAATTTGTCAGCCGAGGTTTCCAAGAGAAGTCACTAGGGGGAGTCCTCTTTCAAGTTGGCCCAGCCTTCACTATTTTACCTTCTTGCTTTAAAAATATTTTGGTCGCGATATATGCGTAATGCGAATTTGACAGGTATATTATTTCTGATTGTTTGCACAATCGAGAGTGCGTGTTCGAACGCCCTCGGAATTCGTACTCGTTCGAATTTTGAACCATCTAAACCGATGTCACACCTCGCTAGCTCTATTGTGGGATTTTTCGAAATTTGCAAAACCAGCAACAATTTTTTAAAGGCAAGGCTAAGCAGAAATACACGTCTGTATACAAATTTTCAGGCGCAGACGATGTATGACGTACGCGGTTATGTAACGGGGACGCTGCAATCGCGCCTCCCCCCAACTCTTCATCCCCTTGGGTCATGTAAAGGTCACAGGTGTACCCTCTGCGTCAGGGGAAGGAAACTGAATGGTAGCCACATCATCACAGGTAAGGGGTTTTTGAGACCTTTCACAAATCCAGCTGGGGCTATCGCATTCGTCCTTGAGATCTAGTCAACATCCTTACGAGAGATATTTGTTCCATGTTGAGAAGTGTACAGGTTGCTTTCCTGCAACCCAATATATTTTCTGTTCGCCGCCTTTTGCAGAAAACACTTCACCAAGAAACGGTTCATTTCCGCCTTCTCTTGGGCAATCACGGCCACACCCTGGAACGTTTGAACGTAAACGACTGTTGCACTGTTCTTATGTCCGCAATGTTCGGATTTTGCCACCCTGGTCGGCTTCAATCTCCTTGTTTCTGTGGGTACTGTACAGTAATGAAGCATGTTTGCTGAAAAAGCTGCCCGCATTCGGCGAGCATTCCTGCCGCAAATTGCAGTTGGTTCGTGCGAATCACATGCGAATCACGCGGGGCATATGAGTTGAGAAACTGATTCGGCTGACGGGAAGTTCGGAAAGCCCTGCACAGTATCTCTTCATTCTGACAAATATCTCTCCCGGGGTTTCTGGTGGTTTCCTCCAAGAGCATGTCAGATGTCGCAATTACGGCCGCACGGAGAGGACGAGCGGATCTGGGCTTGTGAAGAGATATTTCCCCGCGTGCCGTGTCTGGACGCCACTGGTCAAACTGCGTCACCGCCAGAATCAATGGCGCCCCTCAAATCTGGCTGTTACCCCCCGCTATTTACCTCGATCCGCACCCCACACCACCGCCACACCGCATCGCTACCGGGGCAGGCTGCTGCTGCGCGCGCGCTACTGCACTGCTGCTGGCGTGCCCCTCTCCTCCTCCCTGCCACCTTCCACCCGCAATCTGTGTCGTTGTTGTGGCCCCATTTGTGCGTTTCTGAAAAGGTCGCCAGCGTGTCCTTGCAGCAAAGGCCAATCAGTTGCAGGGAGCGTAAATATCTTCCTCGACATGTCCGCGCGTGCCGTGTCTTGCGCACTCATCCTATGCATGCGTGTCCCAGCCTCGGTTGTCTCCTCGCGTGGCGTGGTTGGTTGTCAGGGACTCTCGCTTCCAAGTCTCTCCAGACTATCTGGGAATCTGGGTTCAGGAGGCTGGCTGAGGCGTGTCCCGCGTGTATGTTTGATTGCGGTTGGGCGAGATGCTCTTCAAGTCCAAAGGTTCAAGTAACGATCCGAAATGGTTAGGTCGGGTACGCGGGAGCGGGAATCGCTTGTGCATGGCTTGTTTTGCCTCCACTCCTCCTTTCTCGTTTCCCTCGTCCAAGCAGTGCACCAAGAGCAACCACTGCTCCATATTTCAGCCCAAAAGCTCTTTCACAAAGTTGGCTCAGGGGGAATACGACAAGCATGCACTTCAATCGACGACTTTTATACCGCTTTACAAGCTGCACTTTCCATTGCTAACTCTGGTCTCGGTTGAGAATAATAAATATCTGTCAACCGCCTTTACTGAGGTAGCCAGTAGTCGAACCGTGTGGCAGGTTTCTGCAATCTCTATCGTGTATTCTTTAGCTGATTTGACTCGAAGGAAAATCCGCTGAAATGGCCCCGCCGGAGTCGCCTCGGTCCACCGAGCCGCCTATTATGTCCGCCGAGCCGGCAGACGCCTATCACCTCGCGCAGGAGGTGCCGCGATGGATCGCTTCGTCGTCAACCGCCCCCGCGACAGTCCCCGTCATTCCCGCCGCAGTTGCCGCCGCCACGCCGTTCCCCTTCGCTCCCGCTGCTTTCAAGACGTTCCCCTTCTCCGCGCTTCCCGCCGCCGCCACCGCCGCGACTACGCTTGCGCCCCTCACCACCTCGCTTCCGCTTTCCCCCCCGTCTTCCGCCCACCTTCCGCCTCCGCTCTTCGCAAACCAACCCTCATCTGGGTCTTTTCCCCCGACGTGTCTCCGCCCGCGCGCATCTTACGCCGTCGAGCGCGCCGTTCCCGACGCCGACACAGCCTTTCCCTTATTTTCCCCCGTTTCCGCGCAACAACCTGGAAGCTTCATCCGCCACCCGTCTCCGTTATTCCCCGGATATCCCCCTCCCCTTCCGCCGACCCTTCCGCCGACCCTTCCGCCGACCCTTCCGCCGACCCTTCTTCCCGCCGCAACCGCGGATGCCGCTGCCGCCTTTCCGTCATTTGCGAATGCCTCGCCTTCGATTGTGAGGCCGCAGCCCCGCAACGCGACAACTGTTGCGATGCCGCAATCAGCACTCGCTCAGACGTCTGATTGGCAATCCGTGTCAGCGCACTGGCGGCCCCATGACCCCGACGCCGATGCCGCCGCAATCCACGGCGCGACGAGCGCGCGGGAGGCCGACGCGATTCGCGCGGTGATAGCGCGGCACGAGGCGGCGTTCCGTGAGCAGGTGGCGGAGCTGCACGCGATTTGCGGCGTGCAACGCGGGCTGATGGCGGTGATGGCGACTCGCTGCGAGGTGACACTGCACGCCGCGGGGACCGCCGCCGATGGAAAAGAAGACGCGGAGGGAAAGAGGAAAGCGGATGCGGCTGGAGCGGAAAGGCCGCTGACCAACCGTCAGGGAACGGCGAGAGCGGGAGCGATGCTCTTTGACTTGGAGCAGCTTCCTGGAAACGACGAGGGGGAGGAGGAGGCGGAGAAAGAGCACGGCAATCCGCGCATTCGATTCGAACACGCTTCCGCCATCGCCGCGAGAGACGCGGCTGTTGCGCTTGCGCCAGTAGCTGCTGGAACTGCGCGCTCCCCGCCCTCTTCCGCCCTCCCCTCGTCCCCGCGCGCTCCTTCGGCCGTCGGAGCTCCGCCTCCCGCCGTCTGCCCCCCAGCTGCTGCGGCGGGCGCAACGTGTTCCGCGGACTCAAGCGCGGGCAGCCACGCGGGGCGCGGCGGAGCGAAGAGGCGGAAGAGACAAGAGCAGTGTGACAAGAACGGGGGGAATGAGCGGAACGGCAGAGATTCCTGCGCTGTTGGGACCCCTGTGGAGAGCGACGCCACGTCAGCATCGGATTCGTTGGACAGGCATGGTAAGAACGTGCCACGTCAGCGTGGAGCGAAGAAGCAGAAGCGGGAAGACGGAGGGGGAAGCGGAAGAGGAAGAGCGAAAGGCAAAGGAGGAGCTGGGGGAGGTAGTATCTTGACAGGCAGATCTGCTGGGCCGCCGTCCCCACAGGTCTCCCTGTCACATAACACCTCCCCCAGCATCGCCTCCCAACCTGCTCTTCCTGCAGGCTCTGCTGCTACAGCCGGGCCTCGTCCTGACTACAGCTGCGCTACAGCCGCAGCACCTGGTGGGGCCCACGCGCCACAGCCGTTCCAACCGCCACAGCAGTTACAGTCGCCGCAGCAACAGTTCCACCTTCCAGGGCTGCCCGGCTCACTCGTCAACCCGCACTCTCCTCTCCCCCCCGCCGCCCCCTCCTCCCTTCCCCCTTCCGCCCTTCCCTTCCACCCGTCATTCTCCTTTCCCTCCGCCTTCGCCTCTCCGTTCGCTTCTCCTGCGGCCCCCTCCATTCCCTCCTGCCTCTCCTCCCCTTCCGGCCAACAGCCTCCTTGGTCCTACGCTCCCGCTGCAGCAGCAGCAGCAGCAGCAGCAGGAGCAGCAGAGTCAGCATCAGCAGCGGCGGCAGCAGCAGCAGCAAACGCCAGCAGCCTCTTCCCTGGCGGCTCTGCCTTCCTCGGCTGTTCTGCTGGCAGCGCTGCTGCCCTTGCTGCGGGCACCGCCGCTGCCATCGCTGCTGGGACCGCTGCTGCAGCCACGGTAGCAGCGGCAGCTGTTGGAGGGACGTTTGTCCCTGGGTTTGCTTCTCCGCTGTACGCCACACCGGCACCTGCCACTTATGGCATGCATTCCATTTCTGGCATGCCTGCACTTCCTGGGATGCCTTCTTTTCCCGGTGCTCCTGCGTCTGGAATGTTTTCTATTCCGGGCTTCAATCCTTATTCAGGAATGCCAGTCGCAGGCTACCTCCATCCAGCCATGCTCGGCTCGTTCCCTCTGCCCCAAGCTGCTCCCTACCGCCTGCCGCTCCCTCTCCCCACGCTCAACCCCACTGGCATGATGCTACAACCGTCGGCAGCAGCAGGAGGAGGAGCTGTAGCCACAGCAGGGGGAGCAGGGATAAAGCGGGCAGGAGGGAATTCTGGAGCTCATGGGGATATCCATGGGGGGTTCAAGAAGCCCCCCCCCCTGGTGCTGGTGCGCGACGGCAGCAGCAAGCAGCAGCGGCTGCTGCCGCCTGACCAAGCAGCCAAGGCGTGCCCTAGAGTCACTCACGAGCCAACCTCAGGCAAGCGGCAGAAGCAGGTGCTACCAGGCCAAGCCACAGGGGCGAGTCCCCGTGAAGCTGGTGGGGGAGCGGGTGCTGCTGACATCAATGCTGCTCCCAGCAGAAAGAAGCAGCAGCAGCAGCAGGGGGTTGACTCTGTGCCTGTGCACGAACACGCAGGCTCTTCTAGGGAAGAAGGAAACGGGGTGGAGGAGCAGGGTGTGGGTGATGACGACGAGGGAGGGGAGGGGAGGAGTGGAGGCAGCGTCAGTGAGGAGTCTGGAGGGTCGGGGGACGAGGGAGAGGCCGTTGTGGACCCCATTGTGCTCCCAGAAGCAACTACTTGGAGGACTGGGCTGGTAGTGATAGATGAGAAACACGTGGCAGCAGTTTCTGGTTCGCTGCATGGCTCCACGCTCTCGTCCTCAATAGATGCATCGCCCACTAAGAGGCCTGAGGCAGTAGCGTCTACCGTGCAGGGAAGGAAATAATAGTAGAATGAATTTCGTTCACGAATATTGTTTAGATCTTGTGTTAACTTTCTTATGTGCATTTTTATGTGAATTCGTACATTCTTATTCTTTTAATAGTCAAAGATGATGTAGGCGAGCTGAGCTATTTTTTTGCAATTGATTTTTCCTGGGCACCACTTCGCGATCATTTGCGACTTCGAGGCAGCGGGTAACTCGTGGGGAACAGCCTTATCGCCAGCGAGGCATCCCTGCCACGTGCACCAGTATCCTTCCGCGCCTTTTCCTCCTTTCTTCTGCCAAATTCCCTTCGATCACTTCGAGCTCCACGTGGACAAATGGGACCCCCACGCAACAAGAACCTGGAGAAAATACAACTCGATATAAGATACGTTGCTCCTACAGGCACATTCCTGCGATCAGGAATCAGAACCTAGGGCACTGAGTGGATGCTGTTTCTGTGGCTCATCAGCGTGTGTTCGCTGGTCTGTGCGGTGCTGCTCGGTTGACTGCCTTACCTGCGTTGTGCAGCAGATCCTATGACTGCTCTTCCCTTCCCACCCCAGCTCTGCCAAGCGTTTCAAGACTTCGCCTGAGCAGAGCTCCCTTCCCACCCCACCCCAGCTGACGACTCACCTCACCGAATACATAACTCTTGCTGGGAGAAATTCATCCATTTTCCAAGCCTGTTGCTGGCTGCCTTGCGTCAGGCGTGTCCAGTTCACATCTCGCTCCAGTGCCTGTGTCAAGTTTTCCAAATAAAGACGAAGGAACGAGGAACTGAATACTATCGACCATGGCCATGGCGCAGCGGTCGCTACAGTCGCTGGAATTCTGCCAGCTGAGGCGCGTCGACGGGCTTCCGTCAGGCATTAAAACGCCCAGCGCGAGCGGGAATGGCGTCGCGTCGCTGCTTCCCGGGTCGCAGCAGAAGCAAGTGCGCGTGAAGGGCAAGGCCCGGCCGAGCAAGGGCTTTGCGTGCCGCGCCTCCGGTGGCGTCGTGGAGCTCGAGCCCGCGTCTCCCGGCAGTCCACTCCTCGGTGCGTGCACGAAGTGCATCGCGAGGGACAGCGCTAGTCTCGCGAGAAAATGCATCTCCTCCTGTCATTCTTAGTTCTTCCTTCGAATGCTGGTACACGTTGTGGCTCGGATGTTTAGCGCACTGTGCGCGTTCAAGCTGGTTGCGTACCTACGGGAAGAGGAAGAGTAGGCAGCGTATGACAATGTTGGATGTTGCGGGAGATTTTCGCTGGAGACGAACAGTTTTTGCCGACATTCGTGGCTGATTGCTACCAGCCCTACGCAGAGGTCGCGGCGAGCGCTACGTATGTGTATATTCGAGATGAGCCACCAGGCTGTTATTCACGAATTGCCGTCTCTAAAGACTTTTGCGAAAGTGTCTGGCCTCGCAGCTTAGCGAAAGAATTTCTCGACATCGCATTCAGGAGGATTTCCGACTTATCGTTAGTTGAGAAGTCTCTCAACTTTTCATTTGTGTTATCTCAAGTTTCCCTGCCATATGACCTTAGTGTTGTCTATGGTTGAATCCGTGAGCATTGCCTCCGCTACAGCACGCGGACGTTCGACGCAAGGCTTGTTGAAGTGTTAATATTTTTGTAGTCAACTTGAGAACTTCTCTGTGGTTGACTCCGTGAGCAGTGCCTCGGCTACAGTACGCGGACTCCGTGTCGAAGACCGTTCGGCGCAAGACGCGCACGGTGATGGTGGGCAACGTGGCGGTGGGCAGCGAGCACCCCATCCGCGTGCAGACCATGACCACCTCCGACACCAAGAACGTGAAGGCCACTGTAGAGGAGGTGAGCTCTTATAACGAGTCCCCTTGTAACGCGTATATCGATGGTTCGCAACGTGGCGGTGGGCAGCGAACACCCCATCCGCGTGCAGAGCATGACCACCTCCGACACCAAGAACGTGAAGGCTACTGTAGAAGAGGTGAGCTCTTATAACGAGTATAATGATGGTGGGCAGCGTGGCGGTGGCCAGCGAGCACCTGATTCGCGTGCAGACCATAATCGCCTCCGACACCCCAGGTTACTTTGGAAGAGGTGAGCTCTTTCATCGATTCGCCTTGTAACGCGTATGGTGACGGTGGTTGGGCAGCGAGCACACCATTCGACACCAACCACGTACAGGGCTACTATGGTTCGGTGCGTTTCCGCGCGTTTCTTTTGTTGGCAGCCTTGAAACGCGTAGATGTCGACATGGGCCACCCTATCGCATGATTCGACGACCATTGGCACAGGAGGCTTGTAGCTCACCGTGAAACAGGCCAGGAAGAACTCGTTATTGGGGTAGCTAAAACGCGTGACCATGGCGGAGGAACAATGAACAGTGATTCCATCCGCGACCGCCTCTGACATCAAGGACTTGCGATATGGGCCTCGCTAGCATTAAGTACGAGGTTATATGTTTAAGAGGAAATAGACGAGACTGCATACATCTACGGCGTTTTAGCTGAAAGTTTTACCTTTTGGCGGTTAGTCAGTCATGAAGCTTCGTATAGAGCCTGACATTTGTAGCGCTTGGCTGGCTGTGCGGTTACAACAGATTCCAGCCTCTTGGGGAAATCTCTGTGCTTACTGCTGCCGCACCCCTTGGATCTTTTGCGACACGCATTTCGAGAATCGCCTTGTGCTTTGGCCCGCACAGAGCCGGCACCGAGCGCTGCAATGCCTTGCTCGACACACGAGGCAAACTTTCATAGTCTGGCCCCTTATGGCATCCCCCTGCCCTGCCCATCCTTTCGTCTCCCTCCGCCCTCCGCCCTCCCCCCTTCGCGTCGTCTCCCCCGCCTGTCAGGTGATGCGCATCGCGGATCGTGGCGCGGAGATCTGCCGCATCACGGTGCAGGGGCGCAAGGAGGCGGAGGCGTGCGAGCAGATCAAGAACGCGCTCGTGCAGGCCAAGTGCGCGGGGGTGGGGGGGGGGAAAGGGGCGGTGTTTAACTAGGGGGCATGTGGGGAAGGGGGGAGAACGGGGAAGAAGGGGGGTGGGGGGGGGGGGTGTTGAAGAAGGGGTTGTGCGTTGAAAGGGCTAGGAGGGGCTGGGCGGGGAGGGTGCTGCGGCCAACCATCGCCCTGCGCTTGCCTTGTTGAGTCGACTCGAAATTCCTCCTTACCCCGCTCCCCTCTTTCCCTCCCCCTCGCGCCCTTGGCTACAACAATCCCTGGTGGCGGGCATTCACATCACGCCCACCATCCTCATGCACGTGAGCGTTCATGTGACTCAAATGTACTCTCGCCCCACACTCCCCCCATTCCCCACTTACCCCCCCCCCCCTCCCCCCTCCCCGCCTCCCTCCCCCCTTCCCCTTAACCCCCACCCCTAGCTATAACATCCCCCTGGTGGCGGACATTCACTTCGCGCCCACCATCGCCCTGCGCGTGGCTGACTGCTTCGACAAGATCCGCATCAACCCCGGCAACTTCGGTAACTCTCCACTGCCTTGCTCGCATGCTCTTGCTCCTTCCTTGTTCCCAATACCGCTCTCATTCCTTACTCGCGCATTCGCTCCCACCCACCCCTTACGCTCACATTCGCTCCCTTGATGCTGCTGCAGCGGACACCCGCGCTGTGTTCAAGACAGTGGAGTACACGGACGAGAGCTACCAGCAGGAGCTGGATCACATCGAAGAGGTAAATAGCCAGTCCGAGTGAGGGAGAGTGCATGGCAGAGGCACGTGAAGAGGGAGAGGGAGAGAGAGTGCATGCGAGGGCGGCGGATGGAGTACAGACGGATGAGAGTTATCAGCAAGAGCTGGAGCGTATCGAGGAGGGGAGGTGATTGGCGAGAGAGTGCAGAGTACTAAAGGTGGGGCTAGAGTGGCGTACACGGACGGATAAGAGGTACCAGCAGGAGCTTGAGCACACCGAGGAGGTGAATGCAGGGCGAACTGTGCATAGCACATGTGGGAGACACGCATGCGCATTAGCACCCACCTCGTTGCCTCCTTGTGTGTCTGCATGCGTTTACATGTATTCTTTCATCTGTCATTGCACCCGTCACCACGGACGCCCACGCAGGTGTTCTCGAAGCTCGTGCTCAAGTGCAAGCAGCTGGGGCGCGCCATGCGCATTGGCACCAACCACGGCAGTCTCTCCGACCGCATCATGAGCTACTATGGCGACTCGCCACGTGGCATGGTGAGTCAGCACTCGTGCACTCGTGGCATGGTGGGCCACACGCGCGATCTGTCTTGTAGACCGACCACGTGGTGGTCGTCTCATCTCGTTGCCCCTCCACCTCACTCCCCACTTCCTCCCATCCCTTCCTTGCAGGTGGAGTCCTTTGCATGCATCTGCCACAAGCATGACTACCACAAACTTCCTCTTCTCCATGAAGGCACCGATACCACACCATCCCCCTTCACTCCCCTTCCACCCCCTTCCACCCCCTTTCACCCCCTTTCACCCCCTTTCACTCCGCTCCTGCCCCTCTTCCTCACCAGGTGGAGTCGGCCCTGGAGTTTGCGCGCATCTGCCGCAAGCACGAGTACCACAACTTCCTCTTCTCCATGAAGGCCAGCAACCCCGTCGTCATGGTCGCCGCCTACCGCCTGCTCGCCGCGCAGCTCAGGGCTGCAGGGGATGACTGGAACTACCCGCTGCATCTGGGGGTCACTGAGGCGGGTGAAGGGGAGGACGGGAGGATGAAGTCCGCCATTGGCATTGGCGCGCTCCTGCAGGTGAGCTGCTTGCTACTGCGATTGCACTGTGTGATAATGCATGTGTGACTGCACGTGTGGACTGTACGGGTTTGCTACTGGCATTCATGTGTGCGGAAGTGCATGCGTGGCTGTGCTGTGCATGGGGGGGATACTGGTTCCGGGTGCTGCACATGGCAGTGAGATGCGAATCGGTCTCCGTTTGGATCCCCCCTGTGTTACCAAGACGGGGGCGAACCCACATTAAGCTGCCTTATATATATATATATATATATATATATATATTTTAATGATTCTCCCATGATGACCCACACACGCCCCTTTGGCTGCCTTCAGAGCCCCTCCCCACCCCCCCCACCCCTCTGGCCAGTCTCAACAACGCCATCCAAGTGTCCCATTTGGAGTCTTT